TAAGAAGGCCAGCTGCGACTCCTCGCCAGACTGTGCCAAAGGACTTTGAAAATAGATATGCTCTTCTTCCCGTTGAAAATCTTGATGCCACATGTACTAGTAACGATGAAAATGATATTGCTTTATTCAAAGATGCACAAGATCTGAAACGAAAGGAACAATCTATTAAAGAGGAGAACCTGAAAGGGAAACGGGTTGAAAAGATTCCCAAAAAAGAAGCGGCGCACTCGAAAGAGAAAGGCGCAGCAAAAGAAGCGGCGCACGAGGTACCTAAAGGGGAAAGGACCACGAAAAGCGCAGCAATCACGAAAGAGACAACTGAAGCACAGAATGTTACGACTCAATTGGGTAGCGTAACCGAAACTGATGCTTCGACCAGCTCTAAAGAGGTCAGGAACACCTCTGATAAAAACCTAGATAAAAGGAATCAAAAAACACCATGGACAGCTGCCTGGATAGCGGAAAGACTACGAGACCAAAAGGAAGAGAGATCCATTGGTATTCTCAGTAGTTGGACCCACAAAAAAAGAGGATTGGAAGTCGATGCAGACTTGATAAAAGAACTAAATGCTTTACCGATTCACGAAACGGTATTAGCACTGGAAGAACTGAAGAAGCCTAAGCAATTCATCAGAGGCACTCAGGGAAACCAGATGAACATCACCTGCAGACTGACAAACCTCGCATCCCATCAATCAACGACGATTGAGGCATTACTAGACAGTGGCTGTACCGGAAGTTGCATAGACAACAAATTTGTTGAAGAACAGGGATATGAAAGGCACAGAATCCCTAGACCAATTCCAGTATACAATGCTGACGGCACTCTGAACCGAGACGGCAGTATTAAAGAATTCGTAGAAATATTGGTGGAGATTAATGACCATGCCGAAAGACTCCAGCTAGCCGTTACCAATCTTGGAACTGGCAGGATGTTCCTAGGCCATGAATGGTTAAAGAAACACAATCCTACGATAGACTGGAACATGTCAAGATTAGACTTCAACAGATGTCCATCAGACTGCAACATGATGGTAAGATTCTTTGATCCTGAAGAAGATCTAGAAACGTATTGCCCTGAGGTCAATCTTGAAGAGGGGGATAGAATCGTCCAAATCAATTTCTTAAACGTTGAAGATACATCCATTCCTGACGTCATGCACCACATCCGCGCTCACGGCACAACTGCACAACAGCTTGCCGAAGCAGCAGGAAAGGACCAGAAAACAGGAGGATTTGAAGGCATTGTACCAAAATACCTTCACGAATTCAAAGATATCTTTGACAAAAAAGAATTTGACGCCCTCCCCGAAAGAAGACAATGGGACCATGCAATCGAACTGATACCAGGAGATCACACGATAGACTGTAAGGTTTATCCATTAGCACTAGGAGAACAAGAACAGTTAGATGTATTCCTAAAAGAGAACCTAGACTCAGGACGCATCAGACCCAGTAAATCTCCGATTGCTTCACCATTCTTCTTCATCAAAAAGAAAGACGGCAAACTCCGACCTGTACAAGATTACCGAAAATTAAATGAAATCACCATCAAAAACAGATATCCATTACCTCTGATTAATGAACTTGTAGACAAGCTCAGAGGCGCCAAGTATTTCACAAAACTTGACATAAGATGGGGATATAATAATATTCGGATCAAGGAAGGAGACGAACACAAGGCTGCATTTAGAACCAACCGCGGCCTGTTCGAACCGTTAGTAATGTTCTTTGGATTAACGAATTCACCAGCTACATTCCAAACAATGATGAATTCTATATTCAAAGAACTAATTGACGAAGGGAAAGTAGTGATCTATCTGGACGATATTATGATCTTCACAAAGACGATAGAGGAACACCGAGCAATGACGCAACGTGTACTTCAGATCTTACGAAAACACCATCTATACCTAAAACCGGAAAAATGCGATTTCGAAGAAACAGAGACAGAGTATCTGGGATTAATCATCTCAGAAAACGAAATCCGCATGGACCCGATTAAGGTGAAAGGAATCCTAGACTGGCCAGAATGCAAAACAAAGAAACATGTACAAGCCTTTTTAGGATTCGTTAACTTCTATAGAAGGTTTATCGAAGGATTCGGATCAATAGCGAAACCGCTTACTAAACTCACCGGTAAAGAAGAGTTTATATGGGGAAAAGAACAAAAAGAAGCCTTCGAAGAGATAAAAAGAAGGATAAGCACAACCCCCGTATTAGCACTCCCGACCAATGACGGTCAATACCGAGTAGAAGCGGATAGTAGCGACTATGCTCTAGGAGCAGTACTCTCGCAAGAACAGAATGAAGTCTGGAAACCAATAGCTTATCTATCTAAATCTCTCAATCCAACCGAAAGAAACTACGAGATATATGATAAAGAACTATTGGCTATCATGACGGCTTTAGAGGAATGGCGCCATTACCTAATGGACGCCGCGAAAGAGTTCGAGATCTGGACTGATCATCAGAACCTAACGTATTTTAAACAACCTCAGAAGCTTAATAGACGACAAGCAAGATGGATTAGCGAACTGGCAAATTATCATTTCACATTACATCACAAGCCAGGCGCTACTCACATCAAAGCCGATTTATTATCCAGACGATCAGATCACAACGAGGGAAAGAATGACAACGAAAACGTTACCTTATTGAAACCAGAACTATTCTCTATCAACATGACTCTATCACACGAAAAAAGGCAACAGATAGCAATTGACGATGCCAAAAACATAGAGATCACAAGATGGATTTCAAAAAGGATGACAAACGTTGACGAACTCGTTCAGAAGGTCAAGGACAAAATAGACAACCACCAAGACGGCTGGTGGACCGATGAAGGACTCATCTACTTCAAAGGTCGCATGTATGTCCCAAAAGACCGAAAACTCAGAGAGACGATCATCAGAGACAATCATGATTCCCCAATAGCTGGCCACCCAGGCCGGTATAAAACAAAGGAATTGATTACCCGATGGTACTGGTGGCCATATATGGACAAAGACGTCCAAGAATATGTAACTGGATGCGAAACCTGTCAAAGAACAAAAACAGATCATCAGAAAAAGGCCGCACCGTTACATCCGAATGAGATTCCAAGCCGCCCCTGGCAAATCATATCAACGGATCTCATAGGACCATTACCAGAGTCAAAGGGTTACAACACTATCATGGTAGTTGTTGATCGCTTTTCAAAAATGATCAGGATTATGCCGACACATGCTGAGTTGAACTCAGAAGGAGTAGCGAGACTATTCAGAGACAATATATTTAAACTTCATGGATTACCCGATAAAATCATCTCAGATCGGGGAGTCCAATTTGTCTCTAACTTTATGAAGGACCTCTACACAATGCTAGGTATAAAGGGAAACCCATCAACTGCTTATCACCCACAAACCGATGGCCAAACAGAGAGGATTAATCAAGAGATAGAACAATATCTCCGAATCTTTGTCAACCATAAACAAGACGACTGGGCAGATTGGTTACCATTAGCAGAGTTCTCCTACAACAATAAAGAACATTCAGCTACCGGCTTCAGTCCTTTTTATTTAAACAATGGACAACACCCAAAAATAGTAGAAGGAGTCAGGAAAGGAGTAAAGAGCGAAAGTGCGGAAGAATTCGTAGAAAGAATGAAAGAAACGAGGGAAGAAGCAGAAAAATCTCTCGCAAAGGCAGCCGAGATTATGAAGAGATCATATGACAAAACGAAAAAGGAAAGTCTTGAATATGAACCAGGAGATAGGGTCTATGTAGAAGCCGAACACATTACCACTGATCGGCCATCAAAGAAACTGGATGATAAACGACACGGACCATTCGTAGTCGAAAAGAAAACCGGACCGGCCGCTTACAAATTAAAACTACCCGGCAAATGGAAAAATGTATATCCAGTATTCAATGAAAAGATCCTCCACCCTTATAAAGAACCAATCTTTCCTGGTCAAAAGAAACCAAAGCCTCCACCCCCCGCTGAAGTTGACGGACAAAGAGAATACGAAGTAGAACAAATACTTGACTCACGATTGAAACGTGGCAAGTTAGAATATCTGGTACACTGGAAAGGATATGGAAAGGAAGAACGAACATGGGAACCTGAGCGAAATGTCAACAATTCGCCAGAACTAGTCAAAGACTTCCATGATCATTTCCCATCCGCTCCACGCCGAATCAATTTCTTACTTCATTATCAACCGTTCGAAAACTTCACAGACTTTTCCCATAAACATAAGGTATTTAACTGGGAAAATGGCAAACTTGAACCAACCTTTCGGGACGAAAGTCCTAAAGGGGGGGTAATGTCACGATCCTCTTCTCGTATACCTAATACTTCACCTTTCATCTCCAACTCTGACGTAGAATCACTCATATCTCCTTATCTTATCACGTAGTTGTTTTATATCTAGTCACGAGACAATCACGTGACAGAATCCAGACCATGACGTAGAACATCAGTCAGCGCCTCATGGCTGACATGAGTTCTTACATATATAAGTAGACACTCAACGATGTACATACCTTAGCTTTTGATTTCGTCTTTATACACTTGTTCAACTACTTGCTTGAGATTGACGTTGAGTTGCCTGGTTTCTTCCAGTAGTGCAGCTCAGTCGTTATATACAGGATCCCAGGTCACACAGCATTATCATGTATCCTTGTGCAGAGGGAGTGCATTCAACAGAATTCATGATACACAGGATTTCTTCAACAGACATGTCTTTACAGCTGTTGTGCTGTCCAGATATTTCCCTTAGGGGTGTCATGATACACAGGATTTTTGCAACAGACATGTCTTTACAGCTATTGTACTGTCTAGCTATTTCTCACAGGGGTGAGTATCACATTGACTGTATCAGAAATCGAGGAAAGTAGCCCAGAGCAAAGAGAACACTTTCATGGAGACTCTCCGGGGTCTCGATGTGTCCTTCCCGAAAGGGTAAACTTCATCAGGCACAGCCAGAACCCCATGGCACGGCAACTGATGCCATGATACAGCATGCAGGTCCGTCCTTGAGCTAATTAACGGTATGATGGGCGCTTTCCAGTGCAATGTTTTTTCGATATAAAAGTAAAAGCTACTCGTCCCCACAATATCCCGTACCATACATTAAGCGTCTCGCCCACTCGCAGTTATTCTCAACTTGGGTTTTCCCTACAGCGCTGCATTTGCCGCCAGGCTCACCTTATTCGTAGTAGAATGGTGATGTCCACGCTAGCATGGACAACTACGAGCTTGGCTGACTATCAAGACGTGTACGCTTTTTTTGACCCCAGTGAATTCAGCCCCCTCTAATGTGCCTACCATTTTGTCCAGGTACAGTACAAATGTAAGATGTCGCTTCGCAAGGGTGGACTCAAAGCATTCAGGATTTAACTCATATACATGTCCTGCAGTATGTTGGTTTGGCAGGATTCACTTTATTGGTCTGGGATCACTTGATCACTTTTGCTGATGAGGTATGTTTTTGGCCCCCCTCTTGCCATGATTGCAACATCAGTCTGTATATTCGGGCTTATCCGCGTAATATAGGTAGAATTTATATGGCAAGGTCGCAAAGGCGCTCGTGAGTTGGCTCGGACCCGTGCAATTATTTTGATCCACCCCGCTAACGCAACTCTATACAGTGGTATATCTTTTCCTGTTGGTATGCCCTATCATTTGTGAGGCCTTACCATTGACACACTGACCGAAATATTTCCAGAACCGATATATGACACCTCTTGGGTTTATCGTCAATCTTGTTGGTACGTTTTAATAGAACGAAGTGCTTTAGGAATCGATGAGCATAACTATCGTGATTATGTAGCATATTTATCAACTTGGCCCCAAAACGTGAGTTATATATACCATCATAGAGACCCTTTGCTAATGAACCTACTATCCCCCCCCTACCTTAGAGGTTTGTATCAGTCTTTATTCGAGTTCTTCTTCAACGTCTGACGACAGACGGTAGGTGTACGCACTTCGTACGATATGAAGGCGCCATGACTTTGCTCGGTATACAAATTGTGGCATTGATGATGTTACTCCGGTGTGGCATAGTCGTGCATTCTATCAAGTGTGGCTGGTAATTGAAACGAAATTCACAGAGTTTACGCTATGTACCCCGACAACAAGTCATTAGTTGGTTTACTGGTGCTCATTTTCCTTGCTTGGACGGGCGTGAATGCATTGCTACTTGCAAAGGCTAGTTGTAGGTATTTTACTATCATCTCGACGAAAAGGTGTCTCACTCGAATACAGCTGTATTGCACGAGGGCTTATCATGTGAGAAAACTGAGTGCGCCAATTATCACTCGGGTTCACGTTTTTCATTATCATTGAACAGCTTGCACGATGGTGTTTGATCCGGGAATGTAAGGGATCTCACCACAAGTTGAGGCGCAGTTACTTATGCCTTGTGCTATAGGCCATTCCATATAGCATCATCATCAGCATGGTTTCCCCTGATGTTCGATACTGTCGTATTTGTCTCAACAATGTATCGAGCGATCCCATCGATTAGACATAAAGAAGCTGGGCGTATTCTACGGACTATGCTCAACGATGGTTTACTGTATTACAGGTATGTCGGGATAATAATCATCCAATTTTATTCTGATCCAGGGGAAAACAGTGTTATATGTGGGGTAAATCTCGTGTTGACTGTTATGATTGTTCGGGCACCCCCAGGAATACAAAACATTACTGCTCAGTGAGTTATCTCTGTTATTCACGTAGGTGCACTGATCGCTTATCATAACATCTCCAGACTCGAATTGCTGTGAGTCATGGCTGTAATTTCGATATAAAGCAACTGACGTTAGCTAAATCCTATTGAATAAATGTAGTCTCACTGTGCGGTATCTTTTAGTTGTTCCTTTTCCCGCTTCGCTGACGTTACCTACCGCAAGGTTGCAATGATGTCACGCATCACTCTGAACTTGAAGAAGCAAGCCGCCCAAGAAATTTTCAGTTCCACTGGTTCTGTAGTCTACCCAGTATCCTTTGCACGCTCTCGCTCTGGTTCCGAGGGCTCTATTCGTCCACCGTCCGTGGTGATGTTCCATCCTCAGGCTGGTTCGTCATCATCCGCGAAGGCGCGAGGCTCAGCCATCAGATTTTCGGAGCCGCTTGATCAAAATCCAAGAGCCGGTCCTCGTCTGAACACGAAATTCTCAGAAAGTGATACGGGCTTGACTCCTGAGCTTGAAGAAGTGGGGTTCTCTTGGGAAGTACGCGGATCTTACGAGATGAAAGCCACTGGACGAAACAAGGGCTCGGGTGTGGAGACACAATCTTAGCTCTGTGTTTCCTGGCTCAGACTTGTATCAAGACTAAGGTGTTTCATATATTTTATTTAACTGTGAAAGATACGTGTACAGATTACTGGCTTCATACCATGTATCACTCTTATGATGTGGCCTTGAGATCAGGACTAGTTTTACTCTATATTCTTCGTAACTTAGGTCTCGGTGGTTTTATGTATTCTATGAATCTGGTGTACGCCCTCGCTACGGTGGTGGAACCGACATACGGAACCCTAACCCGATATCGTCACGCTCACCCCAATTAACCAAATGCGTGGGTTACAGCTTTACCATTGAGCTTTTTTACTCGCCGTCAGCGCAGGACGCGACTCTGAGCTCTAGAGAAACGCATTTGTGTCCTGTTCTTTGGCTTTGCTTTTACCTTTCTTTAATACCCTCCTTATAAGGCCGCTAAGGATTCGCATCCAGCCTGAATTATTTCTCTTCCCTCCACGCTTAACGCCTTTCACGCTCCTTTAAGCGCTACAAGCATACACCCAGAAACAACTTATGGCAGCATCTTCATCACCTTCTACCAGTTCTGGTAAACGTGCTAGTAGTTCCAAGCTTCTCAATGACTATGTTGGTATTTGAACGGTCTTATATGTCATGGATGAACTGAGATAGTGTGTATCAGCAACTTGGCGACTCTCTTGGCAAAGGGGCGTTTGGACAAGTCTACCGTGAGCATGATGTGGACATGATTTAAAATCCTGGATTTATCTTACAATTATACATAAGGTGCTCTTAATTGGGCAACCGGAGAGACTGTTGCGGTGAAGGAGATACAACTGAGCAACATTCCGAAAGGCGAACTCGGTCAAATAATGGCAAGTGTTACTCCTGGAGATATCTCAATGTGATACCCTTGACAACTAACTGATGCAAATTTAGTCCGAAATCGATCTGCTTAAAAACTTGAATGTAGGTGTTTGCATTGTGACATCAAAGGACCTTAATACTTAGTACTTGTTGTTCTAGCACCCGAACATCGTAAAGTACAAAGGCTTCGTAAAGACTCGGGAATACCTTTACATCATACTCGAGCAAGTATTCCAATCTCTTGGAGTTTGTCTGTGACTTATGTTGTGCGTAGGTTCTGCGAGAATGGCTCTTTACACAATATTTGTAAACGTTTTGGGAAGTTTCCAGAAACTTTGGTTGCAGTGTACATCTCTCAGGTTTTAGAAGGCCTTGTATATCTGCACGATCAGGGTGTCATCCATCGAGATATCAAAGGGGCGAATATCCTCACGAATAAGGATGGCTGTGTGAAGCTGGCAGATTTTGGTGTTGCTAGCTCTACGACGACTGGAGCTGTTAGTGATGATGCAGTAGTTGGAAGCCCTTATTGGAGTATGTATCCATTATCTTCCGAGCTGATGAGTTGTCTTCTGACGATCACCGCTATCGTCAGTGGCTCCCGAGGTCATTGAACAGTCAGGGGCAACAACGGCTTCAGACATCTGGTCAGTTTCTGACCTATCATATGCCATGCAATCCCCTGATTGTTATTCTTTATTTTAGGAGTGTGGGCTGCCTTGTCATTGAACTCTTAGAGGGCAAGCCGCCATATCATTTTCTCGATCCCATGCCAGCCCTTTTCCGCATCGTGCAGGATGACTGTCCTCCGATACCAGATGGTGCCTCGCCTATAGTCAAAGACTTCTTACTCCATTGCTTTCAAAAGGACTGCAATCTGCGTATATCCGCCAAGAAGTTACTCAGACACCCCTGGATGATATCTGCTAGAAAGCAGATGAGTGGGCCTGCAACCAAACAAGGAAGAACCGCTCAAGGAAGTGAACAAGCAGATGGCGAAATCTCAAAAAGACCCCCAAGCAATTATAATTACGACGAGGCTGTCTTGAAGGTTCAGGAATGGAACGAAGCACTTAAATGTAATTGTTTTCTCCATCCTTTACCATTAACATAAACTGAAGTTGTCATGTCTCTTTCGATCAGCTCCGACTCGCCCTACTAAGCAGCGTGCGCGTCCCTCATTTTCTGATGCGCAACCGCCTTCTCCTACGCACGGTTCCAGTGAAAAACCTGGCGTTTCGCTTCTCCAACATTCAGTCCTTGGTCTACAGCCATCCACTTCCGCCAACTCTATTCTCAAGGGCCCTTCTGCTGCTAACGTTAAGGGTTCTGCGCCGCTCGGTCTAGTTGAAAAAATTCGTGAGCCTCTAGCTTTCGTCCTACAGCCGCCAGAAGAACAAACGGACAACTGGGATGATGATTTCGAAGAGGGTATTTCATTCACAAAGTTGCAAGGTGAGTGGCGATATCTCGAATTGTCATCACCATCGCCTGATTGTATTGTAGCCCTCGAAAAGACCGCATTGGAAGAAGAGAAACCCGAAGGTGAAGACAACGCCCAGACCATCAGACCGAACAGGAGTCCCGCAGGGCCAAGTACTATACCGCTGGCCAAGGCACCCTCGGCAGATATTGTTCCCATTGTCGAAGACTATTCCGACCTTGCTACCGAAGAGGACGAACAATGGCTGCAAGAAAAAGTAGCAGACTTCAAGGTAAATCTCTAGTCTATACTGTGTGATAATGTATTAAAGGGAGCTGGCAGATGAAGAACTCAGTTCGTCGTGGCCTGTTTCATCCAGACGACATCAAAATTCTTGGTCTTGCCCCTAGCTCTCCCGGCCCCATGTCAGCTCCATTACCTGGTCTTTCCAAGAAGTCTTCTCGGCCTTCCCTCAGTCCAATTAACCCCTCGGGTGGCCCGTCCATTGGACCAGCCTCAGCAGTCCGCACTCACTCTCGTTCTTCGTCATTTGTTGGTTCGGGGTCCAGCGGTTCAGGATCCTTTGGGCGTTCTGAGGCCAAGCGTATTGCCAGCCAGCCCGAGTTTGATAAGTATGCTGAGGAAGACGATGAAGATTATGACGATGTTTTCGGCAAGCCTAGTGGTGCCAGTAAGTATGCTTGGGGTTCAGCTTATTTTCACGTTACTGAAACTTTTTGATTAGCTATGGGGCAACCCATACAAACTTTGCAGTTGAATACGCGCTTATCTAATAAGTCATGGGTATGGTTCTATGTCTTGCTTGTCCTTGGTTCTTTCGTATTCACATTTAACGTCGTACAGCTGGGTGACGAGAATTCAGATGAGGACGATCCTTTCGCAGAGGTAGGCAATTGTCATATAATCAATATACATTTCATTTATCAAAACTTGTACTATTAGATTGATGAAGGTTTTGCTGAAGATGATCTGGAAGCAAATCTTCAGCGCGACAAGCATGCAAGGTTATCTAACATGGTCAACCAGCTGATTGACGAATTAACACCGTCAGCTCCTGATTTCCAACTTCGGGAAGCGTGTGATCAACTCGTGAGCAAGACATCCAGTGGTATCATTAGTGTACTAACGCGGACTCTTCTCCAGATCAACATTATGACCGAATCCCCAGAAATGCAAATACAATTGGTATCGGCTCATGGTATGCTTGCTATTTTAGAAGTGCTGGAGGCAAGGTGTTCTCGAGATGTAGTGATGAAATTGCTTCATATCATCAATCTAGTAAGCCCACTGTTTCTTGTTCTAAGGATGTTGTAACTGATGTTGATCACAGCTCGTAACGGCTGATCTTGGTTTCTTGGAGAGTTTTTGCTTGATAGGTGGTATCCCCGTTATGATGGGTATGTTCCAAGAAGTAACGTATGTCGCAGTTTTCTCAAAGTTGGTTGTTTGCAGGCTTCACCTCGAAGAAGTATCCCTCAGAAATTCGGCTAGAAGCCTCCAACTTTATTCGACTTCTTTGTCACACTTCTGTACTCACTTTGCAAATGTTCATCTCGTAAGTGTAGTTACTACCTCGGAATTGTTTTGTCTGCTTAATTTTGTGTAGGTGTCGAGGCCTCAAAGTTTTGGTGGACCTTCTTGACGAGGACTATACCGAACAGACCGATCTCGTAGTGCATGCCTTGAATGGCATTGGCAGCGTGTTCGAGCTTCAGAGCCCCACTACTAAGAATGATTTCTGCCGTATGTTTATTCGAGAAGGTCTCCTTGATCCTCTATCTTCGGCCCTGCTCAATGTAATGGGCAACCAGGGTGAAACTGCAGGAGAGATGAAGTACAAAATCATTCAGATCTTACTCGTCTTTTCTCAAGTCACACAAAGTGACATTCACGTGCGGAACGCGATGGGCACTCGTAAAATTGTTAGACGTGAGCCTTGCATTCTCGTACGTCACGTTCAGAAGACTTATAACTATACATAGGTTTACTGCGTGCATGCGAGTTGCTTGAACCAGAATGTCTGGTTCAGATGTTGAAAGCGGTCAAGCACCTTTCGATGAATGCTACCTTGCTGGATGTGCTACAAAATGCCAATGCAATCGAGATCCTAACCAAACTTCTCGACGAGCAAAGTGTAGGACCACATAGCACGGTATGTGGTGTTCGATCTTATACGTTATATATTTCAAAAGTCATTGAACGAGCACTATATACTCAGGAAATATCGAATCACATATTCCAGACTTGCTACAATTTATGTCGCTTGAATAAGTCAAGACAGGAAGAAGCTGCTCAAGCAGGAATCATCCCATGTCTGAAGCGCGTTATCGAGACAAGCTCGCCGCTGAAACAATTTGCTCTGCCAATTCTTTGTGATCTCGCAAGTGCTGGAAAGAGCTGCCGGACACTACTCTGGCAGCATGATGGTTTAGCTCTGTATCTGAAACTTTTGGAAGATCCATACTTTCAAGTCAGCGCTCTCGAGGCTATTTTATCCTGGTGAGCTAATATGGCGTATGCCCTAAATAAGAGTTACTAACGCAAACTATGTCGGGGTAGGTTACAAGATGAGACAGCTAGACTTGAAGACGAACTTTTGAAAAACGAGTCGCTCGAAGCTTTACTCAAATGTTTCGTCACAGCCAAAGCCAATTCTTTCGAAAACTTACTCGATCCTTTGCTGAAAATCTGTCGTATTTCCACCAGTGTCACAATTGGTATCGCTAAATCACAGTTTTTCAAACGGGTCATCGACAGACTTAGCCATAGTCGCGCTGTCGTGAGGTTGAACCTCCTTCGTATCCTGCGCACGGTCTGTGACGTGCATCCTAATCGGGCCATACTCGTGGAGCGCTATGGGTTGCACGAGATTGTGTTGAGATTAAGTAAAGACGATGGGGCGGTACTCGTGCGAGAGTTGGCCAGGGAGATACTTCCCGCGCTTGCGCCTGCGTTGAAACCTGCATCTGGAAGGTCTATGTTACTGAAAGGAGGCGATACTCCAAAAAGCATAGCACCTAAAAAGGCCAGAAGAACAGCATCAGAGACGTCGGTCATGAGCCCCAGTGTTGGATTGGAGAGAGGATTGAGTTCGACGAGACTGGGAGACAAGTCGAGAACCTCGAGGTTGAAGCTGGGCGACATCGCTTGGCAATCAGGTAATCGGAAGTAGGAGTGGTTTTTGGTCTTTGTCGTATGTAGTTCGACAACCTGGGTACTTGTTTTTTCATCCTCTTGTTTCATTCACTTTTTGTCGTTGTTTTAGCATTCACATTGCATCACTCATTTGCACATTGCTTATATATTCCACCCACTAATTATATGCATAATCAACTTCGGCGGTATGAAAGAATAAAATATTATCATAACCAATATATAATCTGAAAGATACGTGTGAGCAGTAGTTGATGATGACAAGTAGAGTAAACAGACATCTGGTCTACTTCCGCGTGAACGGAACCTGGAACCCTGATAGCAGAGCTCTGGCCCGGTTTTGAGCACCAATGCCCTCTGCATTGGTGACAAAATGTATGTGCATGCCGTATGACTTCGGGTACGAATCCAAGTTGACCTCTATTTGGGGGAAAAGACCCATTGCCTCTGGCGGCAATCCAAAAGAGACCACACCAGAGACAGCACTAGGAGAATTCATAGTTGAGGATGCAGGAGGCATGACAATCCCGGAGAACTCCCGTAACCGCGGAAAGACGAACTCCACCAAAGTACCCAAGAAGTCGTACATCTTTGGGCCTTTGAGCTCTACTTTGACACCGAGAGGGATACCCGGCCGAATCCAACCACCAACCGTCTTTATGCCCTTCACAATCTGAACACCCTCGCTCGTGTGCCGACCTCCACCAAATTGCGTCTCTCCCGAGAGAGCCTTGAACGCAGCAAGAGCGCCGAGCAGACTGCTTCTGTTGGTGATAGACTCCTTCACCATACTATGAATGGATATCTTCTCCAACTGGACCACGTTCTCGGATGTCGTTGGAGGCGCCGGCTTCTTTCCTAGCTGGGAGCCACCGACGGGAGGATTGTGACGGTTTTTTGTGTAGGGGTCATTGGGGTCGTAAGTCAGACGGATTTGACGCGGTGGTGGACGTGGACCAGACTCATGGAAATAAGTCATGTACATTAGGTCATCCTGGAGGGTAGTGTGATAGTGATCTGCAAGTCGACATTGGTGTGTATCGCGGACAAGAACATTGACGTGAGGTATTGGAAGACCGTTCTCGTCGCGCTTGAGGGCTTTGCGAATTTTTGGAGGTTTTCGAAACGCGCGTACGGCTTGCGCTGTCTGAGCGACTCGGGCTGCTGCACTCATCTGAAGACAACAGAACGTTTCTGTGAGTCCACAGTAAGCGTTGCAGACGAAGAACTCACCTTTGCTGAGGTAGCTTATCCTGGAGCTGAGCTGTAGAAAATGCGGTTGTTTGGTTGAGAATGCAGATAGCCAAATAGCGGAAGGTGAATAAAGAATGTGACGTAAAATAACGAAAATACGCTAGAAGTAGATGCAAATTACCTTTTGTGGCCGAGAAGACGTGGGGATAATAGGAATTTGAGGCTAAATAGTCCGAAAATGGACATGCCGCGTCTTTGTTTGGTAGGAATCCAATAGAAATTGCTGTTCGGGTAGGGAGAGGAAGGTTAGGGTTACATCCTGTAGCTGACCGCTCGCTTGAGGAAACTTGCACTTCTCCCTCCGCTGTTTCTGCTGAGCCTTGGCCATCCTCAGCGTCTCCTTTTGCCTTTCGGCGACGATATCTTTTAATTATTTTTCTTTTGGTTCATTTCCTTTTACTTTCGCATGGCTTTAACTGCGACAGCGCAATCAGCTTTGCCATCATGGGACGAGACCATTGTACCAGCCCTGCGCAAACGTACGTACCAAAAAGACTTATCTAGATCATGGCACATGCTTACAATGCGTGGTCTGATCCCATTGTCTCATAGGCTTAGAAGGCGAAAGTCGCATTTTATCCAAGCGCATGTCAGTTGCCTCTATTTCTTCTGTGGACGAAGCATCTAGGACTAGTTATCACTCCGCTACCGATTCAAGTTTGCGAGAACATACGTACAGTCCAAAACATTCCTCGGATACAAAGAAAACCACCGCAATACCCAAGCCGACCCCTCAACAATCTCGCGTCACTCCTGACGGTCGCTCCGAAACCTCTGTAAACTCCCACCGTGTCAACGGCATATCTTCTTCACGAACTCCCTCATATAAGCGCACCCGCACTTATTCTCAAACATATTCCTACGAAACCTCCCCACCGAATGGTCACATGAACGGCGTGGCCTTACCAACTCCAGAGTCATCAAGGCCAACCTCACCTAGGACCTCTGATGTAAAGCCTACTCGCATACCAGTCGTATCGCGAGGAAGGACTACGAGTACATCCAGTCACGCATATAGTATAACCAATAGGAGCGATAGTAGAAATGGTTACAGTCCTTACCAACCTCCCACACCCGAGACTTCTCCGGATCTTTGGGCGGTCGAGGAAGTGGAGTCATCGAATATTTCTCTTTCCGCTACTTCTATTCCAGGTCGACAGCGATCAGGGATCTTGAATGAACCGGCTCCATTTAACCCAAGTTCGCTAACATCTTCTAGTGTTTCTCAGCCATATGACACACTTCACGAGGATACAACTCTTGTTGCCAGACCATCTACCGACTCCGAAGAACGACCTTTTGAGCATTGGTACCGAGGCGACGTCCATAGGAACGGCGGGGTAGGAGAATTGCGTGTTGGAAAGCGCTTGGAGATGCTTGACATCGCGAACTACGGGCATACTCTACGGAAAGCATCCAAGGGCCATGTATCAAGGGCGAATGCACCTCTAGCTGAGGCAGGTACAAGACGCAAGAGAGCTGATAGCATTTCCGGCCTCGGTGCCCGCGAGAGCTTTTATCTCGACGACGAACGCGCGCAGGAAGCAGCAATGGTCCTCGACGAAAGTCCGTTGACGGACGTAGAAGGCGACGAAGGCGGTGATATATCAGATTCAGAGAGGGCTCGAGATTCATATAGTCCCACTCTCGTAAATTCCAGTGCATTTTCATCTTCAACACCAATGTTGTCAAATGGGAATGGCTCTCGAAGTGCAACGCCAACGACGTCTAGGACACTAACGCGCCAAGATGTGACTCCTACACGTATTCCCGTTGCACGACAACAATCGGAGCCTCTTCGATCTGCTACTCCAACGCACGCTCCACGAATGGGCTCTGAACCCCCATCGCGCCCTTCCATGTCCGCTTCCCCGTCACGTATGAAGATGCCCTCTCGCGCTCCCCACCAATCGCAGGCTATGTCACAAGTTCAAACGCAATCGCAAACTGGCAATCAGAAACGCCGAGCAAAAAGCCCAGCCACGCCCTCACCAACGTCTGCATCGAAGAAATCGAAAACGAAGGCTAAGCCTCCATCTGCCACAGCAAGACGGAAGGCAGAAGAACTCAATCGACGATCGGTTGCTGAGTATCCTGCGCCAGTCGGAGAAGATATGGAAGATGCGATTCCGTCATGGACACAGCCAGTGAAGTCTGGGAATTGGGACGAGGTCAGTGAATTTTGTATCTATGTCTTATTTATGGTCTACTTCGTCGTTCCATATCCGGTCGTTGAGCTAACTTATAATTTGTATTTCTAATCTAGGTAGTATTGCCTGTAGTTGCGCGGAAAAAAGGCCTGGATGGTCAATACGAACAAGCCGACGGTAGCCCACGACCGAAGGCATCAATGACTAAAGT